ACAAAAAACAAGAAGGGATAAGGTAAACAAATCAAAACCAATGCGATGAACAACAAACAGAAGATAGTAAAGCTGTAAATTTGTAAAAACTTGCAAAGCCGATACCGACACGGAATTTAGATCGTTGCAAAAATAAACTAAAAATAAATTGCCCTATCAACGAGCACCGGACAGTTAGATGTTACAATCTTTCTGGAGGTTATCAAAAGTTCGCATTCTTCTGCTTGTGTGGAAGGCTGTTGAACTGTGAATCCGCCAATGGGGAATCTGGACTCGTGCTCTTAACATACACAGTTCACCGCTAACTTGTTGAACGAATGGTCGTGTTATTGCCTATTTGCATTAGCTCATTCTATTTCGTTAGCATTGCATACGGTCCATCTCGTTAAAACGCGTTTCGCCCGGGCTGTGCCGCTAACGAGCACCAACTTGAACGAAACCACCATTCACCACTTTAGGGTTCGCACTCACACAACAACAACAACACGGTTCACCGCACATATGCTACACGTACAAGATGTGGGGAATGAATGACGTTCGGTCGAGTCAAGTCAAGTCATTTTAGTGTTTTAACAACAAGCTGCAACTCGAACGGTAGATGCGCGAACAATGTGCGGTTGAGGACAGTTCTCAGTGTTGCATCTATACTCTAACGGCAAAACAATGGCAACGAAGTATCGGTTTCAAGCGACGTCCATCAAAATTTTCACTTGTGGACAGTGCCAACATAATATGGAACAAATGGTTAGAGTGGAGTAGTATTTGGATAAAAAACCCACGAGATATGTATGGAATAGCCAGTATTAGAATCGTCAAAATAGGTCTGCGATTGTAATCCTGTGACTATATTGTCTGCCATTGTTTGCATGACGTACTCAAAGCGCGACTGAGGGAAACAAGTAGTCAATAACATCAACCTCATTTCACAGGCTCTCGTTTGGCACAAACGTACATTCATTCGATAGCATCACTCACCTGTCGGAATAGGCGAATCTATGACGAAGGTAGCGAGCGAAACTGGTCAGAATCGGCTCACTGTGCAATGCGATGAACTCTTCGCGACAGATCTGTAGGGGGATAGCACGTCCAAAACGAGGTGAATTTGTGAACAAAAAAAAATGCTGAAGTGGGGATGGAGACGAGGTGCGTTTATGTTGAGGGAATCAAATAGATTTCTCTTAAAACCCATGCCACTTTGACTAAAGGAATCTGGGCTGAGAATACGTTCCAGAGTTATAATGTTGTTGCTCGTAACTGAGGCTCGAAAGAGAGTCCACGGTCTGGTTTGTAAAATTGGTAATTTGACGGTGAGTAGAGAGTACATCATCGGAAATGATGGTGATAATAATAATAAAATGCAGACAACGCAACCTTAAATGATTCCAGAATGCCTAAGCTGCTGCTGCTGTTTCGACAGTTCAAGCACTACCGGAATCGATCAAAGTCTCGTGCAATACCATGACTTTCATCACACTTGTTCCTCCCAACGCTTATTGTTCCGCATCTCATTCACGGGGGAATGAGTATGACATTGTTCTACATCAGAGACAACATTCATCCATTTATGTTTCTGCTTTTATGGGTCTAAATGCACGAGTTCTCGATTTCGAAGACGCGTGTTCAACCCGATAAACACTCCCATGAAACAAGAACCATTTATTAAAGAGAATGAATTTCCATGCTGCATTGCACAAAACATTTTCCAAATGTGAGCTGTCCCTTTCGAACTACTACAAATTTTCTCTAGCGAAGCTCATGGGGTTCGCGAATTCAAACAATGATAAAAGAAAATCGAGAGAGTAGAAGTGGAAGATACGGTTCGGAATGAATAAACTTTACCCATAACCATTAGTATACAAGTATGATATTGGAAGCTGAAATGGATCTCTGAAATGCGAGTCATGTTACCCGAGTTTGATCAACACCTGTATGCATCCGACCAATTGGATTTGGTAATCGGTATTCTCTCTCTCTCTCTCTCGGTATTGTCCCTTCATGACAACCCCAGTCACTCATTCACTCTTTCGGGTTGACTGTGGTTGTTCACGTGGTCTTTTGATTGACTATGACCTACCTACCTTATTTTGTGACTGGACGGATCAAAGTGTCCATGTGCCCGATGTCATGTTATCCACTGATTGAACTTCATCAGGCCTGTGAGAAATCACTGAACCCGAGAAAACGGTTAAATTGCGATTTTTTCTTGCAAATAGGACATGAGGTGTGAATGAAAGACCTTTGTCAAAGAAGCAAAAGAGGTAAATGAAATAACGGGACACGAAGACACGGACAAACGTGGAACAGCAGATTGGCCAATCTGAACAGAGGAAGGAAACATGGATGATACATACCCGATTCATCACGTCCACAGTGGCCGCATGTGTCCAGAAACAGTCGTGCACCGAGGCGAATGTGATTCCCGCTTTCAGACAATGCAATGCGGTCAGCATCATATGGCACGAATCCAACGAGTGAATAAAATTAGGTGGGAATGCATTTTTCTGTTTGATTTGATTGGGAATAGGCACTTGACGACCTGAAGTGGGCGGGGGGTGGAATACATGCGTTCCCGACGTTGGCGGGGAAAAGGCCGGTGAAAAATCGCCAGATCCGCAATGTTCATCCGGATAATTGGTATTGGATGCGGAACCGGGTAGACGGATGTATGGTTGTGTGACGGGAAGACCCATTGGTGTTTCCCAACTCACCCGACAGCCCAATTTACCAGCCACATGTTGAGCAAGCTGTGCACGGGATGGTTAGGTTATGGAAACAAGTGTCAAACAATGGGAG